CCTAATTATATTGACCATGATTTCATGTATAAAAGAAACAAAAGGGTGAAACATCCAAGGGGGGTGAATACTTTTTATAGGCATTGTAAATATAGGGTTCCGCCATTGCTGCACATCTGTGCTCACGAATAAATCACATAAATGCTCAGACAGGTGCGACACAGTCTGTGTAGAAATTTGTAAAAGCACCTTTTTAGGCGCGAGGACATTGCATTTTTAGAGTTTATGATCATATTCTGAGGAAGTAACACAATTAAATTTGTGATTAATCTTATTAATTGTCCTACCATTACATTTTCAGTTGGTGACTTAATGATTATGGAGTGCTTTATTTTTTAAGTTGTCACCTCCTACACTGTTAAAAGTAAGCTACACTTCCCAGTGCGATCACTGGCAATGTGTAGTTCAATTGCCAATGTACATGAGTAGGTGGAGGAAGGCAACTAGCTGGCAGAAGCTGTTGTCGGACTCAGAGTGGGTGGCTGGATCTAGTGGAAGCAGGATGTACCACTGTAAAACCGAAACATATCAAACTTAAGAATGGTTTGTTACAAAATGTTTGTTTCAGTTTGCAGTTACTCAAAACCTCTAAGTATATCTAAAAAATCTTGGGACAAACTCGGAAAAAACTCTCTAGATTGACTCACTGTGATACCTTTCCAGAATAAATACATTGGATTTTAGTCTCATTATTTTCTGTAGCAGAGAACTCCATTGGCCATGACAACACACCTGCACCCAGCAGGCCACCTGAAATAGACACACAAATGAATAGCAGGTGGTATTTTTAGCTGGAATTATCACAGAGAATGAGAAACAGCTTAAGGGTGCCTGAAATACTGGACTGGCTCATTTTATTCAGCACAAATAAGGCATTTTATCCATTGCACTCTACCTGACCTTGTTTTTCCCCCTAATGCTAGCTGGCTGCAGGATGAGCAGCACTTCTCTGTCATTTTGTGTTTTTGTGGCTTTGACTTGTCTGAAAGGATATGACAGGAAAATAATGTTGGTGCAGCATTCTCTTCAACAAATCCATATAAATAGCCAAGAAAAATTCAGTTTGGTGCACCTGCAATGTCTACTGTGTGACTGCTTTTACTTTATCCCTCATCACTCACAACCTGGAAAACAAATGCTGCCTTACTACAGTAGAGCAGCACAGTAACCCAGGAACATAACACGTGACCATGTCTATGTGTATTTGAAGGAATACAGGTAATTAAAAGGTTATTCAGCGTTACCAAATTTTGCCTGATGCCCTAAATATAGTGCTTGGATGGAATCTACTCATAATTAGATTGACCAAATGAGTGTGATACAGTCATTTCCACAGTAAACGCTGAATTCACACCTCCCACACAAAGCTCATTATCACTCCAAGCAAGAGCAGCGTCTTTTCGTCTACTACTCTGGTAGAATGTGTTTCCATGCCTTAAGCATATCTTAATTTGTCCACCGTGGAGCACAAGCTCCATCTAGTGCTCAGTGAGGCACAACTGAGTGTGTTTTCAGCCATTACGTGATCAGACTTTTCAGCATTCAGCTCCTTTTTTCTGTAACTGTCTGTCTGTCTGTCTTCCTCACTGTGTTCCTTTTTCTGTTCTTTTTTAGGCTTGAGTCTCAGCTGATGTCAGATATTCACACCATCCTGCAGCTGCTGCAAAGACAGCCGACACTGGGACCTCCAGCCTACAGCACTGTGACTGCCAGTCCGGACTATCACAGACCTGCCGTGAAGGTCCAGCCAGTTGCTCTGACTGCAAGCCATTTCTTTAGCCATACAGGAACTCAAGTAAGGAGGTTTTAGAAGGTAGAGACTGTTTTACACACACACACACACACACAGAATGAGTTATTTTTGCACATATGTACATGAAGCATTGCATTATTTCTGGCAGAGCACTGATGCCGTGCATCAGCTGGCTTTTACAATCACCAATCAAATTCTCACCAGTGATGTTCGAGGAGACAATGAGGCAGTTTCTATAATCTTACAAGCTCCCACTGTTTCATAATGCTTTGCTCCTACCTGCCTCACACTGTTACTGTTGAATGTTGTGATTGATTGGTTTGTCTGGCACAGTGTTTGCCAGAAAGTCTGAACTATCAGAGGAGATAAACATTGAGCCATTGCCACATGTTTTCTCTGACTTACCTGGTAGAGCTGCTGCCCCATGTACCAAGGCTGAGTTCTTTCTGCAGCGGTTAAGGGTTCGAATCCAACCTGCAGCCCTTTGCTGCGTGTCATTCCCCTCTCTCTTCCCCCCTTTTCTGTCACTATCAATTAAAGGCAATAAAAGACCAACATATAAATAAATAAATAAATAAATAAAATTATAAATCTGGCAATTATAAATTACATTTTGACAAATCCTTTTACTACAAATAGGTTACACATTTGAAACAATGTATTGAATGACTATAAAATGTTGGATGAGATGAATAAACCTGCTAAATACAGTCAGTTTATCTCAGTGCGGGCAACTAAGTTGTATATATTCTGCCACTTTTCTTCTTAGGGCCCCAACCTCAAACTGGAGAGGACCATTCAGGAATCCAAAGACTCCCTGTCGAGCTTGGCCAACATGAATGCACCCATAGAGGACAGCCTTACAGCATTGCTTGTACAAAGACATACAGAGCCACAACAACAACAGCAGCAGCAACAACAACAGATCACAGGGCATCAACAATCTGCATTGATCCTTCTTCCAACTGAAACCTCCTCCACCTCCTCCTCCTCTTCATCCCCATCCCCTTCTGACTCCAACCTCAACACCACTGGACTCCACAGACCTGTCTCAGACCCAGAGTTTCCAAGGCCGTAAACCTTACATCTGCACAGTGTTCTAATATCTGGGTTGTAATGCTGTAATTACTAAGTAGCAGCTATTTATCAGCATGTTGGCACAGACATCTGTATTGTTAATTTGTAATGGATTGGTAATAGAAGTAAGATGTGTTTTTTTCATTATGCATGTGGATAAAATACTGTTCGCTGCAGTTAACAGTGTGTTAACAAACTGTTTTCTGCAGATATCAGTGTAATAACAATGGTTACATATTGTAACAGTAGTTCTATCAATACAGAAGCCCTCTGATGGACTCTTTTAGCATCATCACTCATCTTTACAGATAGATTCATATGCTCAAAATGTACACGCCCCAACCAATCAGGATGAACCTGTTCAACCACACATAGAGTGTCCCTGTAGGAGATTTCCTCATTCACTATGTCTACAGCTTCTTAACTAAATTCTGCTTAATCGGCAGGGATGATGGTTAAAGGGCTCCACCTGGTTGTGATAGAACTAGCACACCTAACTTTCAGTCTCACCCAGGCTTAGTTCTCTAATGGGCTCTAGTGGGCTCTTTTCCCTTTTCTTGTGACTCTGTTGCAACATTTTATGTCCCAGCACACAACTGGTCACACCAAGGATAGAGTCAGCGGTAAAGAACATCACATCTGTCCTTCTGTTTGCAAATCTGGTCTCCGTACATTGCACTGTAACACAAGCACCTGTGCACCAGTCGACCTACAATCAAAGCTTTATTAATGGACCCAGGCAGGAAAAAGTCCTGACAACTTTGTCCCTCCCTCCATCATTACTTGCAAGAAGAGATGACTGACCTACCTCACAAATGACGGGCCCCAATGTCCAGTACTCGAGGCATCAGTTCATCACAACATGTGGGTTTCTTCCTGGTGTTAGACTGGCTCCCGAACATCCAGGCCATAACCATCACAGCTCACCAGTCTGTGCACTAGATGGAGGATGGAGAAACAAACCAGGAAGTGCATGCACTGTATGACTCAAGCCAACTGCTCCTCAACATCCCCAGATAAGGTACCTGTGGGTGCTGAGCGTGCTTGGCAAGGATCCAGGGAGAGACCAAAAACACAGACTTATGGCTAAGACAGTCAAACAACTTTTTCTTGGTACTGAGCGAAGAGAAAGACGAAAGTAAGGAGAAAGCAAGGTAGAGGGGGCAGTAAAAGGCCACACACAAAGGTCACCCCACTGTACATAAGAGAGCTGGGGCGTCCAGGATAAACACTGCCAGGAGAATTCCTGTCCATTGACTAATATAATTGTGGAATGTGCTTTGCATAGTTAACAGTGATCATTTCTTTGGACAGGAATTTGCCACAACCCTGTCAAGCCTTTTCCCACCCTTCCATGCCTGTAGTCAGCAAAGAGAAAGGTTATCTCTCCAAAAAACGTGTCAACAGAGAGCAGCTACTGTACCACTCACTGCCAAAGTGGCCCTAGAGAATGGGCAATGTAATTAATCACTCAGCTTCCTATACTATATCCCGTGTAACAGCAAGTAGAGATGGAGGCCACGACTAAAGATTGTAAATGCTGCCACCAAGGCAGTCTGGCAGCTGGTGGTCAAAGACATGTTGTCCAGGCATTTTGCAAGTGCAACCTGAGACTTGGAAGCAAGAATGTGAGCCAAAGCAAAGAGCTCGTACTCCGTGTCCTCATTTCCATTGTACATGTATGAATACCTAAAGCATTAGGAAAATTATGGCACAGTGGCTGAAATCTTTGCATAGCACCTGACTGTGAGACACTGACAACGCCATAGGTGGAAACACATTCTGTAAATTTCCTCCACTGGGACAGAAGATCTTGCCGGATACTGACCACATGGACATCCTCAACAGTCACTGATGAACCTATAAGAGCCTGTTAGAGTCTAAAGCCTGAGAGCAATACATATCCAGACTACCACAGGGACTGAGCCTGCATATAAATTAATTATACAAACGATTTCCTGCAGCTAGTGTCGTGTAATACAGCATTATTACAAAGGTGTAAGAACAGTTTTCTTATCCTTAGGTATGCCTGTTTTCTCTGAAGTGTGACTCAGGGGTTATGGACAATTGCACTGCAATACACAGTACAGTATGAAGTATACTGTAGTTTTCTTCTTTAAACAATGTGCATTATTACTGAGGTCACTGACGTGCACCTACTGTACAACATTAAGCCAACAGAAGACACCATACATGCTTGTCCGGGCATATCGTAACAGGCAGATTTAAGAATATTCTGCTGTTATCCCAGAGCTAGGCCTCTGACAAACAAGTATGATGTAGGTATTTCTACAAGGCAGTGCATGTGTTATATATATGTGTGTATATATATATATATATATATATATACTGTTTTGCACTGCTTATGAGCCCAAAGTAGCACATTACAGTAAATGATGTCAGCATACTAGTTTCTTTTAGGATGCACTTACAGGGTGGGTTGGGTACTTACAGGGTGGGTTGGGGGGGTGGGGGGGGGGATTGGGGAACACATGGGAAGATAGTACTTGCGCATAAACAGGCCCCAGAGAGGGTCTTGTGCCTATACAACCAATCCAAATGCTAAGTCAGCATCTTCATGTATAACCGACATAACATCAACGATTCATATCGTTTCCCCGTACTGTTTTTGTTGGCAATGTACATTAAAGATAAAATGTTGTTAGACCATTGTTAGAAAATAAATACATAATATTGCCAGATGTAAAAAAAAAATGTATTTTTTTTAACTGAGTAAATTATATGAGAAAATATTTAGCAAAACAGTAGTACATATGTTTGATTTGAAGCTGTGGGAGCAATAAATGAAAACACACTCATAGTTGTATCACTGGTTTTCTCTTTTTTCAAAGACCATATAGCTGTCTTTACAATGAAAATACTACTGTTATTTATACCGTATGAATTACCCAGGGGGCTCGGGATGTGAAGACGATGAAAGGCCATGGATTATTGATTTGTGCATGCTTTGTTGTGCTTGTTGCTAGCAGAATTGTTGGGTGGAGGATGATCTGTTGTCAGAGAGCCCAGACCATCACCACCACCACCACTAGAAAGAAACTAACTAGTATAAATTGAGAGGATACTTGGGTAAAGAAAATTAGATATACATTTGGCTGTGAGTTCTATAATATAAATAAAATAACACATTTTATACATTTCTTTGAGGTGATTGTGTATATAATTGACTGGCATTGTTGTCTTTGTAAAAACAGAACTAGGCATGCCGTACACAACACTAAGCGGTGTTGAAAGAAGGATTTAGAGCCCATTGGCAAAACCACGATCAAGTACTTCAATATTACTCAGATTCTTGCACTTAAAATATTACACAGATAAAAGTAAAAAATGTATTTATCAAAAGTTGTTTCTTCGCTTTCATAGTCTTAAATTATTGATAAGATAACCTGCAGTGTAATACAATACAGTTCCATGTCTGATTACTGCCCTACGTTGCTGGGTATCCATAGCAATATATCATTATTCATGAGTTTTTAGTTTGTCTTATAGGTCAGTGTTGGTCGGCTAAGTTACAAGTGGGCCGAACTACAGTTGTTGAGTAATGCAGTGAGAAAAATATGTCCCTTACATTGAGTATTTCTGCTTCTAAATAAAAATACTCAAGTAAGTACAAATAACTCTTAAATGCCCTTCCAGTAACAATGGTAAAGAGTGAGAGGTGAGAGTGAAGGAGAAATCAATAATCAAATAATTAATAATCAAATCATTTTATAATATTATATTGATATAAAGAAAGATACACAAATACCTCAGTCATTATAGGTCACTGTTAGAATAACAGAAAACAGCTGAACATCTCAACCAGTTTCTTTAAAACGTGTGCAGGCCTTGTTGTGCATGCAAAGACCTTCCTACTATGTTCCCATACTGACACCTAGAGGCCAGTTTAATTAAGGGGAGTTTTTGGAGAAACGAAAGTGAAAGAGTTGAGTTTTCCTCGACTCAGTGAATCATCATTTTTGTTTCTGCTAGTAGTCCTTTAACCGACCTGGAGCTGTTGTACAGTGTTGTAATCAGTTGTATCGGTTAGGTGGGTCGTAATGGCATCTGATAACGATGAGGTGAACGTGGCTGTCATTGAAGATTTCAGGCCGAGGTTGCGACAGTATATTGTGGTGCAGCGGGTTCTGGATTACATTGACTTTATCGGAAACGACCAAAAGGAGCGGATCAGACAGAAAGACAGGACCGAGGGTAACGGGGCGGCTGTGGATCTCCTCATTAGCTCGGTCACAAAGAAGCCACATTCACCCGGCTGGTTCAGGGCATTTGTCGACGCCTTGGTAAATGCAGGTTGCGAACATGCAGCGGACTACGTACAGGCCAAACTCCCAGACCCTGAAGTGGAGGCAGAGAATGATTGCTGCGTCCGGCTTATACAATTACTGTTACCCAGTCTAGTGGATATGGACACTAAAACTGTGTGCACACACTGTTTCTCTGCGGAGCTACTCACCCAGGATGACACTGAGATTGTAAGTACGCAGATTCCCACCTTTCCAAGAGAATAATGAGTCTGAAAGGCTCACAATGTTTCCTTTACAGTTTAGTGTGTTCACAACTTCAGTGTGTGTACTTATTCCTGTTCAACTTGTTTAAATAGAAAGTTTAGAATAGATGTATTTGCGGTCACTGACCACAAGATGGCAGACAAATGCACTCATCTGTTTTGCAGAGGACTGAACTTCACTCTCATTGCATAACCAGTCTACTCCAGTCACAATGCTCATGTTTCTAGATTACAGCTACAATAGAAAATCAAGGACCCCAGAGTGGAGCCAGTGAACTTCTGAGAAGAATCGTGAGATGTCCACCAGGATGGTTTTCAAAATTTCTCAATGTTCTGCGTGATACTGAGCACCCCCGCCTGTACAATGAGCTGAGTGGAGTCTCACCTGACTGTGACATGCAAGGTGACTAACTCTGCTGGAGCACACACCCATTACAGGAAATAGCATTATTCAGTCTTGTGTTGGATAGAGAGAGACCTGTGCATGAGTGACTACAGCGCTAGATATACTTATTCCAACTTTGATATACATTATTAACGAAGACGTTATCAATTATAATAACTTCCTGTGTCTGATGTATTTATTTCTTACCAGGCTCAGATGAGAAAATGCTTTCACTGAAAAATGGAAGTGAAGCTTGCACAGAGATGTCAGCAGCAGAGGAAAGCTGTGATAGCATACAGTTTATGGAGATCAGCACAACCGAGAACCCTCAGGATGAAGCCACAGGTGTGACAGATCAACTCTGTTCAAGCATCAGTGAAAAAATCTATGGATGTCAGTAATAACAGCTGACACTGTAGTCAGTGCATTTTGAACGAATTAAGTGAAATAACTGAATTTGGACACTCATACAGTCCAGTAGACAGTTTATGGTTCAGTTCACCCAAATCACACAAAGCACATATCTTATCACTTAACCCTCAGTGGTGTTTGTCCATGTCGATCATTTTCATTTGATGTGCAAAAGTTTTGTGGGGACATGAAAACTGTTAAATCAACACAAAACACAAACGAGTCAGACATCAAATGTAATTTTACAGTTCTTTAGGGACCACACACAAATTTTCAATCCCCTCTTTTGCATTGCAGAGGCAGAGATGGATATCTCAAAGCCCTAGCAAGTAAATCTGAAACTATCTGTATGTCTAGACACCACTAGGGGTGAATGCGGAAATTTGCTTTTTGGTAATCTGGGTGAATTGACGCTTTAGCAGCTGGTATTCCCAACGCTGTGAACAAGATTAAGATTTATCTCCTGCCTTTCTTGATATCTTTTCAGACCTGTATGAGGGAGCAAGCGTTGAATCAAAATTGCCTAACACCTTGGAGCCTTCACAACCAGGTGGGACTGATTCACTCTCATTCACCATTGATACTGTCGACGATGTTGAAGTATTTAAAGTATGTTAGTAATCTAAAAAGCTTGTTACTGTCCTGCCTCAGTAGGCCACACATGAAAATATCATACTCATCCATTCTGGATCTGTAGATGTTCTTTCGTTTCATAAAGGCAGATTGAGTGTGTTTTGGAATGTGTTGTAGGTGGAAAAATGTCCTCCCTGCCTGACACCAAAGAATATGTTCCATGTGTGTACCATGATGAACCACATAGAGGTCAAACAGGACAGAGCATAGCCAACGCTTCAAATGAAAACCACATGCTGACTCTATAGTGTAATCTAAAGAAAAGGTTTAATTCAAGACTCTGTGGAGTGGGGCCTTCCTTTACACCTCTAGGCTTATTTCATGCTTAATTTGTTTATGTCAATGGCTACTGCAGCAGCATCATCTCTCATTGCGCTGTACTCATATAAAGAGCCTCTCTGACATTCACATAAAAAATCATTGCTTTAGGGATAATCAGCCCAGAGCAGAGAGACACTGCACAAAAGCAGATGCATGTGGACTAATGAGGCAGTGGAAATTATTTTATGAAATGAAGTAACAGCGGAAGTGTCTTATTTTCTTAATATAAGGTTACAGCACAGTTTGTCTCATTAATTTGACTAATGCCATGAGCCTGACTAGTTGGCCACAGTGCATGGTTTAAACAGATTACATTTAAGATTGTTCCACAAGCCTGTGAAATGAGTTGCATGTGCAGAATTATTTGTGGGCCTTCTGAAATTAGCTGAGTAGCACTGAATCAAGCTGAAAAATAAGCCTAAGGGTTTCCTGTTCTTCTTGCAGTGGTATTAAACATAGCTGATTGTTGACTTTCCTTTTTTTAATAAGTTTAATGTCTGGGAACTGCTGGTAAAAATTCAGTGGGCTACACAGGCCACTGTTGACTTCTTTTTGTTGTTAAAGCTCTATCTCTCCATCGGCACAGACCTGTATTTATTCCTATGTAGTGGCTTGAAACAGCACTTTCAACCTCTGGCATACCAAGTCTGAGAAGGAAAATTAAAAGCTGTCTGCACTGAGAAAAAGAGAACTTTCTGGGGGTTTGAACTCATAACTGGGGGGTAAATGTAGAACTCCAAGTCGAGGGGAAAGGGTAACAGAGAGGGGGGTACATGCGCATTGTGCATGGCGCCTTAGTCATGTTTTATCCCCAGCCTAGACAGGGTAAATGAGTCATAGCCTGCCAGCGACTTAAAGTCTGACTGAAGTGGATCATAGTAAGTCTGCTGTCCTTGCAAACAGGAAAATAAGACAAAATGGTGCCACAATAGACATCAAGAACAGGGAAAACATTACTGACATGACGTGAAATCATGCACTCACAAGGAATTTGAGAAAATCTTGATGATGACTGATAAATACATGCAGATGTTAGCTTGTGCAGCGAAATGCACTGCCTGACGTTTGATTATTTATTTTAGGAAAATTTGTTTCTATTTCAGGTTTAGATTTGTAATGAGGTACTAAAAGGCCAAATTACATTGTATTTGTACTCAAACATTAACATGTGTTGCACACATTGCCCTGCTTCTGACAGTTTTTGAATCTTTGGACTGGTTTAGATTAAGCAAATAGGATACAAAGGTGCCTCTCAGTGACATGATAGTGTTCATATCTTCACTACCTAAGACTTGTGGTTCATAATGTGCTCCATTGTGGTTTAAAATCAGTGGGTTAGCAATGAAAGTGCAAAATCAGTCTCAATGCTCAGTGTTTATGTTTTAAATTTAGAACATATTCCACAAATTCAGCACATACATAATGCTTCTCCTTTTTAATAGCAGCATTAAGAAAACATTCCATTACAGGACTTTAACCACAAACAATGACCAGCACTGTCTTTTCCTGCTGGTAATGCCTGTAATAGTGGGTTGCTGACATGGACACAAGTTTTATCTGTCTGAACCTCTGCTCTGTTTTACAGATGGAGCTGACTCAGAAGCAGCAGCCAGAGTCCCAGAAAAAGCTGATATTGTTCTTCGAGATTATCAGATGGAGGTCGCCAGACCTGCCTTGGAGGGGAAAAACATCATCATATGCCTCCCGACAGGAAGTGGTAAAACCAGAGTTGCAGTTTATATTACCAAAAAACATCTGGACGGCAGGAGAGCAGAGGGGAAATCAGGGAAAGTAGTCGTCCTGGTGAACAAGGTACTGCAACCCAAGTCGGCTACACCTGACTCACTGTATGGTTTTTTACTATTATGATAACCTACTTGTGTCCCATTCAAATCCAAAGAAAACATTCTGTCTTTCAGTCAATTTGCACATATGGGTCACCTCACCACTAATTACATGGCATACGGTTTAGATATAGCCCCTGCACTTTGTTACTATTTGGCCCTGCATGTGATCTGCTCCACACTGGGAAAAAAAATCTCTTCTGATTTAAAGCTTTTCCAGCTATAAAACGATTTTGTGTTCAGTTTTAGAACAACCTGAGAAATAATGATTGTATGTGACTGAAACTGAGCCTAGTGGTTCATTCTTCAACACTGGAAAGAACAGAATAATAACTTCGGTTAGTTGTGTGTCTGCTGAAAAAGGAGTGTCTTTTTCTCATCCTCAAACAATGAACAACAAAATCTTCTAAATCATTCCACAAGTAATTTGAAACCCTGCCTTAACCAAAGCAAGAAGAAAAAAAAGTCCCAGACATATTTATCTGTGCCAGACTGTTGTCAACAAATTCATAACACTGTAGTTACTGTGATCATAAACAAACAAACTCTCAAATCATTGGTAGCTTTGTAGTAGTATAAACAATGCAGACATATGTTTATTTTTATTTTTCATTTCTATTCGCATCCACATAATGAAATTGAATGTGCTCTTGTGCCCTGCAGATTCCTCTTGTTGAGCAGCATTATCTTGCAGAGTTCTTGCCATATTTGAAGCAGGCCTATAAAGTGGAAAGAGTCAGTGGAGACTCGCAGCTCAAAATCTCTTTCACAGAGATTGTGAAGAAAAATGATGTCATCATTTGCACAGCCCAGATCCTGGAGAACTACTTGGAGAGGTCTAACAAAGGAGATGACGAAGGGGTGAACTTAAGCGGTATGATTTTTACTAAAGTTAACAGAATCCAGCATGACACAAGAACATAAATAACTTTTTCCTGCCTCAGTTATTTCCTTTGGTTTCAGCGAACCTAAAAAAAACAACCATAAAAAGAAAATAAGGTCACAACATATTTAAATTTTTTGAAAAGAATGTTCCTTAAAACCTTTAGTTAAAATCTGTCTAGGCTCAAACCACAGATACTGACAGGTATTGGAATAGAAAGCCACCCGGAGGACTCATAACATCTCCCCTGATAAAAACCTGACAGGATCTTGTCAAAGTCTTCCAGCTCTGCTGTTCACTCTTGTTGGCACTCACCAGTCCAAGGTGGAATAGCCACCTCAGTGGAACATATGCTGTTTGTTGAAAACGCCTGAGAGCGTGTCCTTTTTTTTTTCCTATCTCTCTCTAGCTTTCCAGGCCACACGTCTGTTCAAGCCATCAGCGTGTGGCTGTTCAAATTCACATGAGAGTTTCTATCACCCTCAGTACAACAAGCTGCCACTCTCCATACTCTTTCCCTCCAGGGACAAATTTGTATCACTCTGGTTAAACTTGTAGATTATTATAATTCACCTTGTTTACACATTTGTAAAAATAAAAAAATAATACATATATAGTTGAATCTATTTTTGAAGTAGACAGTTTTCTAGCGTATGCTATTGTGTGGCTTAAACTGCAGTGTCAGGTTCCTAGAAAAGAGCTGGTTTGTGTGGGAGGATCTCTCATACAGAAAGATGTTATCATCTGTGAGTGAAAATCACCTCTATTTATTTGAGAAACGTAAATAAATGACACAAAAATAGCTCTGCTTGGTTGAGAAAATTGTAGTGTTTCTTAAGATGTATGCAATTTTGTCCCTGGATGATAATGGTAGAGTGAGAAATGCAGAAATGTAAATGTTATTGTTTTAAAAGAGCAAGCCAAGAATCTCTAAAGACACTATTTATTCTGCTTGTTGTGATCCTGCAACCCTGGCACTGCAATAAACTGCATCTTTTGTTCCTCCGTGTTGCTTTTTACAACTAGCATATTATCCAGACTACTACCATGTACAATGCATTAGTTCATATGTCTGTTGTCTTTTGTAGATCTGACACTGATCGTAATAGATGAGTGTCACCACACTCAGAAAGGAGGAGTCTACAACCACATAATGATGCGCTACCTGAAGCAGAAGAATAAGAACATGAGGCTGAAGAAGGAGCAGAAGCAGCCCGTCCCCCTCCCTCAGATCCTGGGCCTGACTGCCTCACCAGGGGTCGGGGGAGCCACCAAAATGGAGAAAGCTGAGGAGCACATACTGCGTGTAAATACCATTCTCAGCGTTGTGTCTGCACCTGTGTAGACAAGAATGTTGGCACATATTAGCCTGTGTGTCCAAAGTAGTAGCTACACTTTACAATCAAATGCTACTATAACAACACTAGAGACTGTGGCTAAAAAAATCACTGAAGAGTTGAACTTATTTTGACATCGGATTGGATTACATTTCACAGCTGTTTTAATTGTGTCCTGACAGATTATATTCACATGCCACCATAGACCACCTCATCTTCCCTTTAGTTTCACTTTTTCATCTTGTGTTCATTTAACTCCTGTCCCAGTTTCTCTGCCTTCTGAGTCATCTAGAATCCTGTTCATCCAGCCAAGCTGTTTCCAATGTTCCACACTGCCCCTGCACACAAGGGCAGCCGTAAAGTTTCCTACTGCTACAAAAGAAAAAATTAAAAACAGCCCTTTGGCTTTAACTGTCAGACATGCAGAAATATATTAGAAATAGTGTGTATCACTAAGAGGTATGATTTTGATTAATTCTAACACTGTAAATCTGTGTCTCTGTCGTAGATTTGTGCAAACTTGGATGCTTCCAAAATCATGACAAGGAGCCTTGGGGAGTTCACAAAGGAACAAAGGAAAATAGTTGTAACTGTTGAAGACAGAAACGAGGTACTTGTGTTTAACAGGATTAATTTTTTTATTAACTTTATTTAATCTTGTAGTCTAGTTCTCTCTAAGCAGTACCCTTAAGAGTGTTATATAACCAAATATCCTTTTCAGGATCCCTTTGGTGATGTAATCAAGACAATTATGAATGCCATTCATAATCATGCTGAGCTGAGCCCCACCTGTGACCTTGGCTCTCAGAATTATGAACAGTGGGTTGTTCAGAAAGAGAGAAAAGGTGAGCAACATGTTTATCTTCACGGATATTTACCCTTTGTTCAGTGTCCCTTTTTGATAACAAATTACCTGTCTTGTAGGGATCTAAAAACTTTGTCTTGATCTATTTTAGCTGCAACGGAGGAAAATCAGAAAGTGCGGGTTTGTGCAGAGCACCTTCGACAGTACAGCGAGGGCCTCAATCTCAGCAACACCATTCGCATGCGTGATTCGTTCAGCTTCCTGAACAAATTCTATGACGAGGAGATAAAGAAAAAGACAACACCAGATGAGGAGCATACCATACATATCACAGATACTGAGAGATTCCTCTTCAATTTATTTAAAGGTACTTTCTTGTTGTATTACCAAAGAATTGAAACAATGACGTTCTTGAATAATGTTATATGTAACAGAATTTTAACACTATTTGCTTTGAAGATGAAAGGATTGATATCACTCTAATATCTGTTTGGTAAATGTACTGTAAGGCTAGCTGCTGGTTAGCTTAGCTTAGCATAAAGATTGGAAACAGAGGAAAATGGCTATCCTGGCTCTGTTCAAAGGTAACAAGAATCAGCTTGCGGTATGCGAATGCAGTATAGTCCTTATCATCTAACTCTATGCAAGAAAGTGAGTAAGTGTATTTCTCAGAATGCAGAATGAATCTTTTAATCTTTTAACCACAATTTACTAAAATTCCTTCAAATCTATGTCTCGCAGACAACAAAGAAGAGCTGCAGAAGCTTGCAGAGAATCCAGAGTATGAAAATGATAGCCTGTCAAAACTAAGAGCAAAAATTCTGCAAGAGTTCAGTACTAGGGATGCGGCCAGAGGGATAATTTTCACCAAAACACGTCGCAGTGCCATTGCTCTAAGTCAGTGGATTCAGGAAAACCCCAAGTTTGCTGACATTGGAGTGAAAGCCTCATATGTCATTGGAGGAGGAGACCAGAGCGTTGTCAAACCTATGACCTCTGTAAGTGCACTTTATATTGCAAGTACATTTGCTTCTAGCATCAAATCCAATTTACATTTAACACTCTCAAAACAAATTTGTGTTAATCAGGCAGAGCAAAAGGACGTGTTGACCAAATTCGGCAATGGTGAAGTCAACTTGCTGATTGCTACAACAGTGGCAGAGGAAGGTCTGGACATACCAGAGTGCAATTTTGTTATCCGATATGGCCTTGTGACCAATGAGATTGCTATGATTCAGGTCAGTGATTTCAGTCGTCAAATGTGTGTCACTTCTGTGTCCAGTTATTAAAGCATTATTATACTATTACAGTAAAATATTAAAGTGGTTACCACCTTTACCTTTTGCAGGCTCAGGGCAGAGGAAGAGCTGAGGACAGCAGTTACACTCTGGTCGAGGTGAAGAACTCTGGGGTGGCTGAAAAGGAGTGCGTCAATGAGTACCGCAAGACCATGATGAACAAGGCCATTGACAAAATCCGAGCCTTAAGTCAAACTGACTATGACAAACGGGTATGTTCACTTCAAACTGTTTTTAAAGGGTTACTTTAGATTTATTGAATTGGGGTTGTGTGCGGTAATGTGGTCGGCACGCACCCCCAGTTTGGAGTAACAGCCAGGAGGACCAGCATGGAAGTTAAACAATGCACTGTTGTGGACAAGGACAGCAGAAAATCGTATTTTAGCCACCTAAACAAAGGCCCAACTACAAACTAACAACTACGCGTTAAGTGTACAGTGTACTATATTTAGAATATTTCCACCGCTTTCCCTTGCCGTCAGACAGCCCTTTCCAATGGGAAACCATAGTCGCTCTCTCCAAAGACTCCTTTGACAAAAACAGTCATTTTACCTTGCAGAACACAAGTTCCTTCTGCAAGGTAGAATTACTCTTGGTAATACACTGACTATGGATAAAGACCTCATACACACCCACTTAAAAGATCAGAACTAACCCTTTAAACTAATACCCATAGTGTCCTCAGTAATGTTTTTTCCTTTCATCAGATCATGGAGTTTCAGATGCAGTCTATAATGGAGGAGAAGGTGAGAATGACAAAGAAGAAGCAGAAGGGCGTAAAGAATGAGAACCCGTCTGAAGTGAAGTTCAGCTGCCGAGGCTGCAGCAAACATGTCTGCACTGGCGAAGACATCGAGATCATCGAAAATATGCACAGAGTCAATCTTACACCAGAGTTTTGGTACAAATTACTCGACTTTTACATTATGCTCTGATGATAACTTGTAGCAAATTTGTCCAGAATCAAACCAAACACTGATTTTCTTTTTGCTTTTTTACAGTGAACTTTTCATTCGGAGAGAAAACACCACTCTTCAAGAGCGACTTCTTGATTATGAGACCAATGGCTTCATAGCATGCAAAGACTGTGGGCAGGTAAATGTATTTCAGGATTTTCAGTTGTTTTGGGAAATAGGCTTATTTGCTTTGTTGCTGAGAGGACTGATACCACTTTTAGTGTGTGTCCATTCAATATAAAGCCAAGTGCCCCATGGCAACATTCAGAGGGACTACATTGTGTTTTTAAACAGAATAAAAGGAAAGGGGAAAATAACTCAAGACCAGTCAAAGAAAATGAGTCAGAAAATCACATGAGATACAACTTCCTAATCTTTTTATTTAAGCCCATGACTCCCACATGTAATTCGTTTCTGGTTTAATTTTTGTTCCCAAATTATATTTCCGATATGTAAACATTAATTTGTGTGGCCATTGAACAAGCCTTTGCTTACTCGATGCACACTTTTATGTTTTTACATCTAAATCCTGTTGCAGAGATGGGGTTCCATGATGCTCTACCGCGGGATCGAGTGCCCATGTCTCCATGTGAAAAACTTTGTGGTGACACTTAGTGGAAAGAAAATAAGCAAATGCACCAAGTGGAGTGAGCTTGCCGTCAAATTTTCCGCCTTTGACTACGCCGAACACGCGAGCAAAGTGGCAGAGAGCTCCGATGAAGAAGAATCTATGACCTCCTGATACTGATTTCTGTTCTTATCTTAAGTGTTTTGCACTGCATGAATTACTGCACCTATTCACCCATTTACCCCTGGTTAATGCAATGTTTCCTTTTGAGTCACTGGTGGATTTAAATGTGTGCTGCAGACAAGTTTGTCCAGTGCATGTACGATATTTCTATCATTTTATTGGTAAATGGCTTATTTCATAAATATGTAAAATTGTCTAAATGTAAATTTGCCCTAGGATTGTTGGTGTATCGGCCCTCTACAAATTGAATTTACAGCTGAAATTCTGTAAAAATCATTTAATAAAAAAAACATCCTCTCAAACCCCTGTTGTCTCGTGAGATTGGAGCCACTGAGCCTGTGATAGCCCCTCAGAGTCCACCTGTCAACACACATGCAGACAAACAAGGGCTGGTGAGTTTCCATTAAATCCAACTGGTAATGAGTCACTACAGTGCCAGTCAGAGCAGTTATTTATAGAACTATTTTTTTTAAGATTTGTTTCCTCATACAGATAGATACCTGTGTGACAGACAGCCTATGGCTCTGACTGTCTGCGACATACAAAAATGGTGCAAGTTGTACAAATCCTAGAAACATAAGTGTGCCCATTATCTGTCTTTGTATTATTATTATTTTACTGCATTTATATTCTAATTAATTAATCCACAATATAAAAAAAACTGCCCTTTCCTTGAGAGTGAAGTGAGAAAAACACTATTATTATAGTTATTTTCACTGGAAAATATGAATAAAAACACACACACTGCTTTGTCACATTTGCTGAGTGAATGACTTGCGCCGTCGGTGAAAAAGCCACTTCCTAAATACCAGTAAGTTGTGCGCTCTTGGAAAGTGGAAAGTTGTGCAGGCTGCTGACTTCAGGGAGGCATCTCTGTCTGGTGTCGGACTCCTCTCAGGAATGCAGCGGGAAGTGTGAGAAGCACTAAAGTAAGACGGAGCTTTAGTGTAAAACCACTGTTACGCTTGTTTGTTTGTTTTTTATTGGTTTTTTGTATTGAGAGTATTTGTTAACGATGGGCTGCTTGACCAAGAAGTCACTTTAAACTTCACATCATCGACCCTTCAAGGATTATTCAAGGGCTGAGAGCTTCACGACGACTTCTTCTTCTTCTGCACCATGGTCAGTAATCGATTTACCATCAACTTCAGTAGTGGGGGGGATAAACTTTAAATAAAAAGAACAACATTTGTAAATGCAGGATTACTTACTGTGGACTGCGGGGTGAAGCTCGCTGTCGGGAGAAATGAATAGACCTTGAGCAGATTACTGTTGTGTGATTTCAGAGGTTTTGTTTTGCAACTTTTGTGTCACCTTTCACAGGGCTGCAGCAAGGTGCTGTGGGGGGTGGTAGGGGCGGCTGTCGTCATCACTTTAATAACAATCCCAGCAGTTTATTTCAGCAGTAAGTTATAGCTCAGGCCTGTTTGTGCATGTCTTTATCTCTGTGTCTGTGCTTCCTGTTCGAGTCCAGTGTGTAAATAACCCTAAAGCAGCTGGTGGAACACTTAAAACCATTTTATTCATGAATTAAATTCCAACATACTTTTTTTTTTTTTGTAAGTAGCTTGCATTTTATTATACTTGTTTTACATCTTAATGCACTGATTTGATTCATAACCAGCTTGTGAATGAAAAGAGAATGACGATATGATTCATAAACTCCTCTTATGTGGGTTATCACTGTAAAAGTAGGCAGCTGGTTGCAATTCTTATAGCGCCACCGCGTGACGCACTGATGCATTTTATTTTACATTTTACATTTGCAAACTTTTAGATTTTCTGATACAGTCAACAAGCACTGGTGCCAACTAAATTAACTGTGTGCATCATTTCAGAATCTGATGGTATCAAAAGGCCATACACCTTTGAGGATTACTTCAATGACACCATTAGGTGGAAATCCTACAATTTGTATTGGATATCAGGTATCACTTCTATTGTACAGGTTGTTCCTTTGTCCCAGATGATAAATTATTCTTCATATTGTGTGCAAATTTCTCAATACAAGCGTATTTATTGTCTTTTATATCTGCAGACAAGGAGTATCTACACAAAGAAAGAGATGGAAATGTCTTCCTCCACAATGCTGAAACAAAAGAGGAGTCACTATATTTGAGCAATTCAACCTTTGTAATATAGCTAACATATATTTTCACATTCTGTAATAATAAACACTATTTTCTGAATCCTGAATAACTCATATTTTACACTAAAATTTAATCATTTATAGGCTCAAGTGGATGCCAATGATTACATGTTGTCAGGTGATTATAAATACATTGCTTTTGAAAGCAATTACACAAAGGTAAGAAACTCCCAGTGAATGAAACGTTTTGACTTTTTGTTCACCGATAAGTTTGATCATAGAAAAACATAATAACAAAAGTCTGAAACAAGTTTTGTGTTTGCAATCCGACAGAAATGGAGGCATTCATTCACAGCCTCTTACTCCATCTTTGAGAGGGAGAGTTCGTAAGTTGACATGTTTTATTCTGATAGTATCACTAATGAACTGCAGGATATAACGGACATTATCTATGATTATATGGACAGACGTACGGATGTCATACTAGTAGAAACTGATCACCCTAAATTATTTTCATATTTCTTTCCAGAACATTTGTTATGCCTGTGAGTCTTCCGACTGTTGTGCAATACTTTGCCTGGGCCCCAACAGGAAACAAATATGTAAGTTTATCACAAATTATCACGTACCCTTGTCGTCACATTCAGTTACAACAACATTAAAAACATTACTGACTTTGAAATATGCTTCCCTGGTATGTGAGGAAACACAGGACTTGTTTCATTTTGCAAAATAAATATCAGGTCCTGCAAGACTTCTGTAGAACGTGGATTTGATGAGGCAAAGTTATGAATCTGAGGTATGGATTTATACTAAAATCATCAAAAACTATAACTACATTTTGTCTTTGAAGGCTTACGTCTCAGACTTCAACATCTATTTCAAATCTGATGTCACTGCTGAAGCTGTACAGTTGACCTACAATGGGAAAAAGAATGAGATCCTTAATGGTGTCCCTGACTGGGTATATGAGGGTAAGTAGTTACTTTTTTAGAGGTGTGCGTCTATTGAAGATGGTTACAGATTTATTTTTTTATTTTTCTCCAACAATTTCAGAGGAAGTGTTTGCATCAAACGGGGCAATATGGTGGTCAACAACTGGAAAATTCTTGGCTTATGCAGAGTTTAATGATACAGACGTCCACAGAGTGGAGTTCTCTTGGTATGGATCTGAACAGTATCCTCAAACAGTGGCTGTTCCTTACCCAAAGGTGAGGAAAAAGTAGATTGCATGCAATATTCTGCACTGATATGTATTTATATAGCACACATTATATGGGCATCATATAATATTATTTATTAAGAATGTATTTGGTGCAGGCTGGATCGCCCCTTACCAAGGTGAAACTGTTTGTGGTTGATACCACAGACCCATCCCGCCGCACACAAGTGGTTGCCCCAGCTTCTGTTGCTTCTGGGTCTGTTTATTCTTTAGTTTATAGCAACACTTCAATCAAACACAGGCAAATGCGATGTTGTCATGTTCTGTCTTATCTGAAAACCTTGTCACTCTCTATTGCCTTTTGCTCAGTGATCACATTTTGTGCTCAGTGAACTGGCTTACAGACGAACGCGTCGCTGTGCAGTGGCTCACAAGAAAACAGAATTACGTGGTTGTACAGACGTATGAATTTGATGGAAGCCGCTGGAAAGAAACACAGGTAGGTGTCACTTCTTGTTGTTACCTGTCTGGTCAGGAACTCATGAATGGTCTCCAATTAGATTATCTAAAGGCATAGACATATGTATTGACTTAATGTTCATGTGAGTAAACGCTAATTAACTTTAATAAATGTCTCTACTCTGTAGAAATTTGAGCAAACAAGCCAGACAGGATGGGTCGGCCATGTAAGTTCCAAAAAGTAACCATCATGGATTGTTAACTGTCAATTAATTGTTTGATTTGGTGTGTGACTATAAAATATCACTTTCTTTCAGTACGTGCCCTTACCTCTTTTCTTTGCTGAAGATAAACTCAGTTTCTACAAAGTGATGAGTGACTCTCAGGGCTACAAACATATCCATTATGTGAAAGATGTAAGTATTTTTCATTTATATTTGTGGATAATATACTGCACGGCAGCTTTCCTCATGTCTTTGGTGTTGGGTGTTATACTCACTAAGGGCATTTCGTTAAGGGCAAAGCAACACCTATTACCTCTGGGAAGTGGGAAGTCATCTACATATCCAAATTAACCAGAGATGCCATGTGAGTGATGATACCATACATATCTGGGAGAAATCTACATAAAGAATATTAGAAAATAAAGACATGTAAATCTGATTTGTGAAATTCTTTTCAACAGATATTATGTGAGTAATGAGTACCAAGGAATACCTGTGAAGAGAAATCTTTACAAGTAAGAAATTCTTCTTATCTGTGTGATGGTTAAACTAATTTGTTATATTGCTTCTTTTTTAATTTTATTCGCTCAGCATTTTACATTCCTCATTAGTTTTCATTTTGTACCAGTTAATTTCAATGTACGTGTGTATCTGTGGACCCCAGTGAGACTAGCAAACACATTAGTTGAAGCTAATTGGGATCCTATCAACAAGAACAAATTATATTACAATATTACAATGTTAGCATTAACTGGCATGAATTGAATGAGTTGCTACTTGTTTGTTTATCAGGATTATGATTGGAAGCAGCCCTTCTGCGCCTCAGTGCCTCACCTGCGGACTGAATGAGGACAGGTGTCAGTACAACTCTGCTTACTTCAGCTTTGATGCCTCTTACTTCCGAATGGACTGCTACGGTCAGTTACCCATCTACATTTCCTCTTAAGCAATGAGTCATCCACGGTCTGTGTGTTGGGATTTTCTGTGGTGGGGAACATCTGTGAACAATAATCTGAGCTAAAACAGTCACTTCTGAAGTTCTACAGAAGACTTGATGTATAATCAACTATTTTCTATTTTTGTTTTTTCAGGACCTGGGTTTCCCCGCTACTCACTCATGGACAACAGGGGCCCAGGTGCAGGTCTGTAACAACATTTTAATTGAACTGGCATAATTTTACAGTTAGTTTATATTGTCATCTTACTTTGTGTGTCATATAAATGTGCACCAATGCAGTCTTTTTTTATTATTCAGTTCTGTACTGACTGTCATTTGTAACACATAATTAAATGTACACCAGACTTTCTGTTCTTGTAATCAGAAATAATAATAATAATTACACAACGGTTAGGGACTGATGCAACTCT